TGTTGAGGGGGACTGCGTCATCAGGTCCTGCCGATGTGGAGTTTGGTGTTGTGGGGGACTGTGTCATCAGGTCCTGGCGATGTGGAGTTTGGTGTTGTGGGGGACTCTGTCATGAGGGCCTGGCTGGGTGAGCATTGCAGGTGTACAGCACAGGGTATAACAGGGCACCGGGGACAATAGCGGACTGCAGTGGGCAGAGATGCTGAGAATGACCAACTGGAGGTCTCGGGGTTGGGAGGTTGTTGGTGTGCTGACAGAGATTCTCTGCTTGGCCAAACTCTGGCCAGGCTCTGGAACCTTCTCCCAGGGCCCTCTCTGTGCACTTTCTTATGAAATCCAGTTTTAGCAAGAACCCTAATTTGGTTTAACTAATGACCACGCTCAGTGGTATCTGACTGGGTTCCTCTCAGATCGTCTGCAGCCGACAGCTGATCACCCTGCCCGCCTGCAGCAAGGATCCTGTGAGGTGGGTTTGGCCGGAGCACTCTCACCCTAGTCATTCCCACCCACCGACCCCACACTGCTCCTCGGCGTCTCCACCCACCCTGTCCTGCTGTGTGGGGGTTGAGCCCCACCTCCCCCAAGGCCCCAAGGCAAGGGCCCCACACCCACCTCAAAGCTCCCCGTGAAGTCCTCCTCACCATGCTTTAACAAGTGTCAGGAGGAATCTTCCTTTAACACTGGAGGGTGACCAGAGCAGGGGGAGGAGGCCAGGTGGACACACGGAAATGAAGCAAACAGGCTGAAGCAAACCCACTTTATTCAGCACGGAGCCAGCCCAGGCGCTGGGCAGGTCGCACTCACAGACGTCGCACCAAGGCCAGGGATGGGAAGGGCTGAAAGGCTTCTGGAAATGGGCACCACCGCTCACAGGCCCAGCTAGCCCCACATCTCAACATATCTGCATCTATGTCCCCGACTTTGCAATCCTGTCCCCAGTGCTGAGTTTCTGTCAACTAGACTAATTTATCTACACACAAGGATGCTGCAGGCAACTGATCTACTGCTACGAGCTTTGCAAAATTCAACGACTAAAGGAAATGAGAGACAGCCAGAGATAACAGCAAGATGAGACACCACCGCAGGGCCTGGAGATGCTAAATGGGGTCAGCCACCTGCCAGCCCCCTCACCCAGGGAAAAGAGGTCCCTTCTGTGAAGGCAGGTGGAGCACAGGGAGGGCTCCCAGGAGCCAGAGCGGGGAGGGGACCCGGGAGTGGGAGGGGGATGAGGCTGGGTGGGGCCCACACCCACCCCAAGAGGAGGGCCCCCTCCTCAGGAGGCATCAAGGTGCCATCCAGCCTTCTTTCTCTTCCCTGCAACCTGAGTTCCAGCCTTCTCAGGGCCTCATGTGCATTCTCGTTTCTGACCCTCAATGGTGTGCCTCACGTACCTGCCAAGGATCTGGGGCCCCACGTGGAAGGTGCAGGGTCTGGGTCCCTGGATGACAAGGTGAGGGGTCGATGGGTGATCGAGGAAGGGCATGGCCCGGGGCTGCCGGGACTCAGGGAGGATGGGCTGCGGCCAGGACTTCAGGAGGGGTTGGGCACAGGTGGGAAGGGTCCCCAGGTCCAGCCTCTACCGGGAGGCATTTGCAGCCCCCAAAACACTCACACCTCGAGGTGAAGGATAAATGGACATTGTTGAAACACGCAGCTACACAGATGGACCCAAGGCTGGGTGCCCACCACACTTCCCCGGCAGCCACGCGCTGACACTTCCCACAGAGACAAGGATCCATCCACCTGCCTCCAGCTCCAGAATGGCGGGCTGGTGCCATCACTGCATGGGAGGGGAGAGGGCAAGACAGACAGACAAAAAGACAAAGAGACACACAGAGGCAAAGTGGAGGGGAGAGGGAGAAAGGGGGCGGGGGGGAGAGAGAGCGTTTACACAAGGGAGCTCAAGGTACTGTTCTGCGCACAACAAACCCAGGGCCTGACCCACACTTCGTCTCCTCAGGGACAAAGCCTTGGCACCTATGGCTGACACAGGCAACTGAACCATTCGGAGCCGTCTGGGTGTCTGTGGGGTCTGGGGTTCGGGCCGGGCCCTGGGCAGAGGCTGAAGAAAAGCCCTGAAGCTAGGCTTCTTGGCCACTTCTGCCTTCAGGACCCCAGGGCGAGGCAGGAGCCTTCTGTGCTCTGGCACTCAGGGTCAGGGACACCTCCCACCCCCCACCCTCCTCAGCTTAACCCCCTTCCCATCACTTTCCTTGACCACCTACCCATCCTGCAAGGCTAGGCAGTGGGAGGTTGGCTGGGCTTCGAAGCCTTGACCTCAGGAAGTGGCCCCCAGCGCCTCGTTGCTGCCTGTGTCCACCCTGGCCTCCCGGGGGCAGACCCGGTGGGGCAGACCCGGTGGGCTCCCACACCTGCAGCAGCATGCTGAGGCCCAGGTTGCGGTGCTTCTTCTCCAGCTCCGACACTGCCTGCAGCAGTGACCTGAACCGCTCGGTGGGGTCGGCCAGCTCGTCCTCGGGGAGCCCCTCCTCCTTCTCAGCCTCCTGCAGGAAGTACTCCTCCTCCTCCACAAAGAAGGCCCGTAGCTTCTTGTAGTCAGTCAATGCCTTCTTCCTGCGGTCCATCACGTGTCCCTGCAGGCAGGTGGCGGGAAAAGACCTGTCCTGGCCCACCCTCTCCAGGGGAAGGGAACCTGTTTACTGTTCAAGGAGTTAAGAACATGCCGCTCCAAAACATGCTGTCCAGGCATATCAACCGTTAGGGTGGGTGTGGGGGCTCACGCCTGTAATCACAACACTTTGGGAAGCCAAGGCAGGCAGACCACAAGGTCAGGAGTTTGAGACCAGCCTGACCAACCTCATCTCTACTAAAAATACAAAAACTCTCCGGGCACGGTGGCATGCGCCTGTAATCCCAGCTACTCAGGAGGCTGAAGCAAGAGAGCTGCCTAAACCCAGGAGGCAGAGGTTGCAATGAGCCCAGATTGTGCCACTGTACTCCAGCCTGAGCAACAGTGCGAGACTTCATCTCAAAAAAACAAAAAACAAACCATAAGGGGCCAGGCATGGTGCCTCACGCCTGTAATCCCAACACTTTGAGAGACTAGGGTGGGAGGATTGCTTAAGCCCAGGAGTTCGAGACCAGCCTGGTCAACAGTGAAAACCTGTCTCTACTAAAAATCAAAAAACTTAGCCAAGCATGGTGTTACACACCTGTGGTCCCAACTACTTGGGAGGGTAAAGAAAGAGAATCAAGAATCACTTGAACCCGGGAGGCAGAGGCTGCAGTGAGCTATGATCGCACCAGTGCACTCCAGCCTGGGTCCACAGAGCAAGACCCCATTTCAAAAAAAAAAATTAAAATGGTACAAGATCACCCTTTCATTCTGCTTCTTAAAAGCAAATGAAATTCCGATGTGAAAGGTGCCCTCCCTATGTCAAATAAAATGACATCATTATCAAGGACAACAGGAGATCAAGGCCGACAGGATTTGGTACAGACCTTGTGAAAGTAACTCTTTTAAGTGTCCCACCTCACAGAGTTGCATTTTCACAAGTGGCTAGTCTTTGTCCAAAAATTTAAAGAATTAAAGCGATTTAATTCTGCCACTTTGAGTCTGCATTTCCTTAAAAGGCAGCCTGTGCCGTATTAAATTCATATGCCTGGCTGGGTGCGGTGGTTCCCGCCTGTAATCCCAGCACTTTGGGAGGCCAAGGCAGGTCGATCACTTGAGGTCAGGAGTTCAAGACCAGCCTGGCCAACATGGTGAAACCCTATCTCCACTAAAAATACAAGATTAGCCAGGTGTGGTGGCACACACCTGAAGTCCCACTTACTCAGGAGACTGAGGCAGGAGAATCACTTGAACCAAGGAGGCAGAGGTTGTGGTGAGCCCACTTCAGCCTGGGCGGCAGAGCAAGATGCCATCTCAAAAGAACAAAAAAAGATTCCTATGCTTTTCTTCCGTTAATCTATCTTCCTTTTTTTTTGAGACAGGGCTTCGCTCTGTCACCTTGGCTGGAATTCAGTGGTGCCACCATAGCTCACTGCAGCCTCAATCTCCTGAGCTTATGCGATCCTCCCACCTCAGCCTCGCAAGTATCTGGGACCACAGATGTGAAATACCACATCTAATTTTTTGAGTTTTGTTTTTTAATTAAAGGGTCTTTTGGGCTGGAGTCTTTTGCTGCTGAGAGAGAACGCAAATGACACAGTGAGATGGGGGTCTCACTATGTTGCCCAGACTGGTCTCAAACTCCTGGCCTCAAGTGATCCTCCTACCTCAGCGTCCCAAGTTGCTGGAATTACAGGCATGCAGCACTGCACCTGGCCCCGTCAGCTTATCTTATGTATTAGTTCTCCGGCCCAGCCTGGCCCCTAAAAGGGGAGAAGTAGAGTTCTTTCTCCCCTACACTGCACAGCGCTCGGCTGCACGTGAAGACTGTCCCTCTCCCATCTCCCATGGCCAAGGGGACAGTAAATCCCTGAGTGGCCCTGCTAGGTCTCAAGCCTGTCAGGCATGTGACTGTCTGGGCTGGACACACATCCATGTTGCCAGTGAGACTGTCCCTGCTGTGCCCATACCGGAACACCAACGGCTGAAAACCATCCCATCAACCTTCAACCAAGTGTTCACACTTGCCACTCTTCAGCTGGTTTTCAGCTAACCCCTAACCAGGATGCTCCTCTGACTTTACTCAGATCCATGGATGGCTTCCACCTGCCCCTGGGCCACAGAGGGCAGGTGACAGCCATAGTCATGAGAGGCCAAGGCTTTTGCTGCTGAGAGAAAATGCACATGACAGCTGGTGTCTGCTGGTTGGCTCATGCCACAGGCTGCAAACTCCTTCCTTTGGATTTAGGCAGCTTCTCTCATCCTAGCATCTAAGCCACCAGCCCCCAAAACAGGACAGATTAAAAGCTCCAACCTGCTAAAATCTGTGGGCAAAGCAGGTCCCTAGGGGGTAACACAGGGTTACTGAAAACTTGGAGGTCCCCACAGCCTTCCAGCCTCACTTGCCCCGGGCAGTGTGGACTGCTCACAAGGCAGCCCCCCAAGTACAGGGTGGAGTGCCAGGGGTCCGAATGGCATCAGGGACCCCTGCGTCACCTGCCACTGACTGAGGGAGGCCTGCACTCAGGCCTGTGGAGAGCAGGCAAGGGCTGGGCTGCACCCGGAGCGCAGAGCACCCACCTCAGTCTCAAGCTGGCTAAGAACTTGGGCCTCAGCCTTGAGGCGAAGGCAATTACCCAAGAGCTGCTGCAGCTTGGAAAAGCGCTCTTTCCGGTTAAAAGGAGGCAGGAATTTATGAAACCCAGAGAAAATGGAAAACAGACTTTACTACACATGAGGAAAAAGTCACCAAAGAAAGTTTAAATGACTGAAAAGCTTTACTGGCGAGTAACCTAAAAGAACTCTAGTGGGATGTCCCCTTGGGATAAGTAGCGCTGCTGTGGTCTGAATGACGGTGTCCTCCCCAAATCCCCATGCTGAAATCCTCATCCCTAAGGTGATGGTGTTAGCAGGCAGCACCTTTGGGAGGTGAGGTCTTGAGCGTGGAGCTGTCAAGAATGGAATCGGCGTCCTTATACCAAGGACCCCAGAGGGACCCTCACCCCTCCCACCGTGTGAGGACACCGTGAGAAGGCACCATCTATGAACCAGGAAGCGCCCTTACCAGACACGGAACCTGCTGGTTCCTTGATCTTGGACTTACAACCTCCAAAAACTAATGAGCTACTCTCAGATCAGAACAAGATGACTACAGAAAGTTACAGATGTGTTTTAAAAGAAAAATAAACACAAAAATTTAGAACTTTGGGAGGCTAAGACAGGTGAATCACTTAAGGCCAGGAATTTGAGACCAGCCTGGGCAATATGGCAAGACCCTCATCTCTAAAAAAGCATTTTAAAATTAGCCAGGTGTGGTGGCACATGCCTGCGGTCCCAGAGGCTGAGGAGGGAGGATGGCCCCAGGCCAGTTCAAGCTGGCATCACGCCACTGCACTTCAGCCGGGGTGACGAAATGAGACTCTGTCTCTTGAAAACAACAAAAAAAATTAGCCTGATGCTGCTATGACCTATAGGTAAAATGTGAGGAGAAAGAGGCTTCCACTGGTTCTGGCCAGATCTATTTGAGAAATACAGACACATCCTAGAAAAATACCCTGAAGCTCACTAAAGCCCAGAGACCCCCCTCCAACCAACCAGCGGAGCAATTCAGTGGCCCGGCCTCTTTGGCCTGCCAGGTGGACCCTTTGTCTAGAGCCCGAGTCCGAGGGTCCCTCACTCGAGGCTGCTCCAGGCCCCACTTGCCTTCCACACCGCGGCGGCCGACTCCGCCTGGCCGTGCAGGTCCCGCGCGTCGTTCAAGTCCTTCCTCATGATTTCCACAGACCCCTTGTTCTCCTGGAAAGAGAGGAGGTCACCAGGGGTGGGCAGAAGGTCTGGGTCCCCCACCCCGACCCAGTCCTGAGGGACATCACCCCAGCTGACTGTACACAGTCTGATCATCCCAGAGATAACCTCGAAGCTCTGCTGCCTAGGGCAGGACGGGCAGTCACAAGGTTTCCTGGGCTTCACACCCACTCAGAAGGAACTGGGTGCCGGGTCTAAGTGGGCTCTGCCTAGGCGGGTTTAGGAGTTCTGTGTCTGCAAGCGGCCCCGTTCAGTGTGAGCTCGGTCTGTACCAAAGGCCTGCGCCCTGCTCTGCCTGAGCCGGACGGAGGTGGTTCTGCCGTGTGACAGGAGCCCCCGCTGCGGGAGGAGCGCCTAGGGCACAGACTGGCTGGCCTTCCTTCCCCTGTATCCGAGAGCAGGACCCCAGGCTGGCTGCTCTTTTCTACTCTGTATGCCACACCAACCCGCCGTGGGCAAGGCTCCAGACTCCCGGACTCGCTGCTGCCAGGCCCTCAGAGCGGGTTTCTGAAGGATGGGTGAGGGGAGGGGGTGGGCGGCAGGGGAGGGCTGGGTGGCCCGAGAGCGAACGAGAAGGCGGGCCAGGCCTGTGGACACAGAGGAATACAGGGGGCCAGAGTAGTGATGTCTCCCCCGAGGGAACACTGAGCGGGGAAGGGGTCAATCTGTGGGAGCTAGGGGGTCTACGAAGATGAGGCAGGGCACAGCTGGTGGTGGGGACCACAAAGATAGGCGCTGGTGGGGGTCTTCCTATGGGGGAAGGGGTGGGGTGATAAGGAACCGCCCAGCAGGAGACCCCAAGATGGGAGAGGGACCAGACTCCGCAGAGACGCAAGAAACATGGGGAAGCAAGCCGCGGGAGGAAGGGGCCCAACATACGCTGGAGGGGGGATCCGTGGCGGTGAGGGGAGGGGGACAACCCGGGGACAGGGTAGTGGGGGCGGGGAGGGCCCAGGGCTAAGGGGGACCGGGGCGGGGGAGGAGAAGCGCAAGGCACCGTCAGCTGCGGGGCCCGGGACCCCGCCTCGCGCACCTTGCCGCGCAGCGCCTTCCTCCAGCGCGGCTCCCACTCGGGCGGCTCGGGGCCCGCGGCCATGCGGCAGGCGGCGCACAGTGGCCCGGCGTCGGCGCGGCACAGCAGCTGCAGCGCGGCCTCGCTGGCCGGGCCGTCGCGCGCGGGCGCCGCGGCCGCCTCCTCAAGCGCCAGCAGGCGGCGGCTGAGCGGGGGCCGGCCGGGCTCCACGGCGCGCTGCCAGCAGTCGTCAGCGCACTCGGGGCACGGGAAGGGCCCGTCCTCCTCGGCCCAGAAGCGCACCACGCACGCCCGGCAGAAGCGGTGGCCGCAGTCGGCGCGCACCGGCTCCCGGGGCGCGCGCTGGCACAGGGCGCAGGCGGCCTCGGCGGGGCCCGCGGGGAGCGCCAGGGCTGCAGGCGGCGGGACCGGCTAGGGCGCGGAAGCGGCTGCGGCGGGCCGGGGAGCGAGGAGGCTGGCGACGGGACGGAGACCAGCACCGGGACGACGACGCCAACGCCGGGGACGCGCACGGGGCGGGGTCCGGGCCGTGGAGCGCTCCGCCGACGAGGTCCTGGCAGCTGTGTTCTGCAGCCGCAGGTCCTGGCCGCGAAGCGCTCCACAGACAAGATCCTGGCAGCCGTGTGCTGCCGCCGGAGGTCCTGGCCGCGGGAGGCTCCTCTGCCCGGGTCCTGGCGGCGGTGCGCTCCTCCGCCTAGGTTTTGGCAGCTGCGCGCTCCACCGGCAAGGTCCTGGCAGCGGCGCACGTCACCCCGCAAGTCCTGGCAGCTGCGCGAGTCACACTCCTGCGCGCGGGCCCCCGTCGTCGCCTCCCGAAATCTTACTGGGACTGTCCGGTCCTACATCAGTAACTCCTCTGAAGGAGGGAAACAAAGTTTTATTATTACGTGAAGTTTCCATTTTTAAAAGGTTGTTTTTGTAAGCTGCTAGGATCTGAGCTACGCGTACCTCCGCTGTGGCTCGCCCGCGTGGGCTGGGGACGGGGCGGGAAACGGCCTGCGTGGGCCTCCTCCGCTGCTCTTGTGCTGCGCGGACCCGCCCTGCGTGGACACTCCTGAGTGCGCGGGCCCTTGCGTGCACGCGTCGTGCAGGGACCTTCCCGTGTGGACGTGCCCTGCGTGCACCCATCCTTCAGGGACCTGCCCTTGAACGGGCCCTGCAGACGTGGACGCACGTTGTATACGCCCACCCTGCGTGGGATCTCCCTGCGTGGACCCGTTCCGCGGGGCCTCTTCCCGCGCGGCCTCCCTCTGGCCCCTGGGAAGATAGCTCTCATTGATTCTGCGATGGTGTGTGGCAGAGGAGCATTTGTTAGCTTTTATTTTCTTTTTCTTTCTTTTTTTTTTTTTTTTTTGAGACGGAGTCTGGCTCTGTCGCCCAGGCTGGAGCGCGGTGGCGCGATCTCGGCTCACTGCAACCTCCGCCTCCCAAGTTCAAGCCATTCTCCTGCTTCAGCCTCCGGAGTAGCTGAGATTACAGGCGCGCCACCACGCCCAGCTAATTTTTTTGTATTGTTAGTAGAGACAGGGTTTTACCATCTTGGCTAGGCTGGTATCGATCTCCTGACCTCGTGATCCACCCTCCTCGGCCTCCCAAAGTGCTGGGATTACTGACGTGAGCCACTGCACCCGGCTGTTAGCTTTTCTTTAAAAAATAAAAAATAAATTTAAAGGAAAGAAGCCTTTGGGAACGGCAATCTTGCTTTTGTTTTCAATTATTTTGAAAATAAGCAAACACGGTTTAAAAAAAGATGTCGTTTAAAACTGCAAGTTTTACATTTTTAAAAATTAATCTTCATTCCATACAAGCGCAGGATCTAATGAGGTATTACTTTTTGTCTTTGTAGAGATTTTTAAATTGACGTGGAAAAGCACTAGGTGCCAGTTGGAAATGTGAATAGTAAACTGGAGTTATTTCTGTGTTGGAAAGGTTAGGAGGCTTCCAGCTGAGCCTTGCTGATTTGTTGGGTCAACTAGGAACTTGCTGGAGAGAAAAGTAAAAAATATAAAAATGAGCAAACTTCATAATGAACTAATCTTGTGAATGAGAAAATATCAACGAGCCAGGCACAGTGGCTCATGCCTGTAATCCCGGCACTTTGGGAGGCTGAGGCGGTTGGATCATGAGGTCAGGAGTTCAAGACCAGCCTGGCCAACATGGTGAAACCCCGTCTCTA